AGAGTCAGCTGTCTTGGAAGTTGTGACAGAATGTCAAATGCAACTAGATATGCTAATAAGATGTGTGGACTTCTGTCAATTGATCTTCGCGAGGCATTTGATACTGTGAATCATGAGATTCTCCCCAATTTTTTATACCAACTTGGCATAGTTCATAAATGGTTTGAAAATTATTTGAGTAGTAGAAAGCAATTTGTTTATCAAGGAACAGTTTCGAGTACAGCTAATGAAATTATATGTGGACTGTGGAGTACCACAAGGGTCAATCTTAGGCCCTGTTTGAAGGGAAAAGTTTACATGTTCGCTGATGTTACTACATTGATTTATTCCGCAGACTCAATCCAATAAATCAGAAATGCAAATGAAAGTGACTTGATTGTTTAATCTTCATGGTTCTCCTATAATAAATTGAGTATAATTACAGCAAATCAGTATCAATGTATATCTCTAAACGACGCATCTCAAGTGAACTGAAATCTGATATGAAATTTAATAATGAAATCATCAAATATTCCACAGACATCAAATTTCTTGGGATATTCCTTGATGAACATTTGTCATGGTCCAAACATATGGAAGCGACCAGAAAGAAAATATCTCCAGTAATCGGAGTACTCTACAGGATCAGACACCAAATTACTTCGAAATACTTAAAATGTGTATATTCTTCTTTGGTTTATTCAAAATTACAATACTTGATTTCAGTTTGGGGTACAGCTAGATCATCAATTATAAAGCCAAACGAAATCCTTCAAAACAAAGTTATTAAATGCGTGTACAAACTAGATTGTTACTTGGAACCAACAATAAATCTTTATAAACCTAGGCAAAATTCCATATATAAATAATTATATAATTATCTAATTTTTTTATTTGCTTTTTTATAATATTCCCTGCAAACATGTATGTTTCTTGGGAATAATAAATATCATTATTATTATTATTATTTTATAGGTATTAAGTAATTGTTGCTTTGACTTCAGCTGCTTAGGGACGACTGAAATATATACCGAATCGTGCTGTAGATATATACTTGGGTGGGGGGTGCACAATAATTCAACTTCCTGTACATCCATCGTTCCATGTTTATACTAAATGGATGTTCATGTTCGTTTTAGTTAGCTGACTTATTACTTTATTTTATCTGAATAGTCTTGTAAGACTTGGTCAAGTTACCAGCTCTTTTCGTTATCAAAAATTGTTGCTTACTATAATTGAGGGGTCCGAATGCATAAACTCCGTAGAAACATCTGTGTGGAAATTTGAGTTTTAATTGAGGTTGCCTACATTTTTATACTTTGCATATTGGTCAAGTACTGGGCTTGACTGAGTTTTGCACAGTATCGTCAACACGCTTTCTATGATTATTTGTTGTTTGAATGATGAAAAAATTATGTCACATCACAGTGTGATCAATGGTTTTTTGAAGAAATCTGAGAGTACCACCAGAATTTTCTGTCAGAGAACAAAGAAACTTTCAAATCACAAATCAGTGATGATGATGCATAAAGAAAAATATCTCAAAAGTTCACATAAAATGTTGAACTAAGCCATGTAATTGTACATTCCATGTAGAAATTAACTAAAAAATACCTAACAAAAAAAATTATACATTTTATTTTCCCCAAATAACTCATTGATCTTTTTGCTACGAATCTCAATACTGCTGCAAAATAACAACAAAACCACCTGCAAATGAAAAGTATTCAGAATACATGTGTATGTGTATAATTCAACCCCAAAATTATTTTTTACTTCTCGTCAACATTTTGGTCTATGTGACTTGACTGGTTTTGGTCTAAAGAATATGTTTCAGGGACACTATATTATGATCCCTCGCAAAACCACATCTACCACAATCTTTAAATATACAATCATGCTACTTTGGTATTTTTTGTAGATGGTTAATTATTCATCATTCATGTATTTCAGAAGAGTTCTACTCCCTGTCCTCGAAACAATTAACAATTTAGTCAACTGTGAGTAATTTGGTCGGGTCATAGTTGGTGAACGTACCATAAATATGCGCACACACGGTACAAATGTGACCATCAATGTGTGATGTGATGATGAAAGAAACGTGAAAGTGCAGCGAAGTGTTTGGCATTGCAGATGCCGCATCAGCCACCCCCCACCACTACTACCGGCCAGCCGACCCGCCGCAACCGCAGCCCGACTACGGCCGAGAGAGCCCGATCGCTGCCGAAGTCAAGCACGAGTGCCCGCTGTGCGACGACCTGTTGCCCAACATCAATAGGCTGCGCGCGCATCTCGACGAGCACTATCCGCGTGACAGTCCCGTGTGTCCCGTGACAGAGTGCGGAAAGACTTTCTCGCACCCGAACTCCGTCAGGAATCACATGCGCGCTAAACACTCTGCGCAATGGGAAACCATGAAGGCGGTGCGTTGGAGCTTGTAAGATCGAGTGCACCAGTGCCTCAAATGTGAACTTTAGTGCCTCGATATCTCTTGTGCGCATTATCATGTAAGCACTCGTGCCTCAGACCTAGTGAGAACTCGTGCTTCCTATCTCTTGTGAGAAAGAGATATAGCTGCGCAGGTTGTTCTTGGCTGCATTTTTGGCGATAAGTGAACCTGACATTAGTTTTTTTCACAACTATATGCCATATCTACTGTTGGAATTGTTTAAAATGGTAATGGGAGTGCTGACTATGTGACAATTTTGGAGAAGTGATACAGTTGTTGGTGCTATTGTCTAGTGGAGTGTTAGTTGTTAAGGAATTTTGAGTAAACTTGTTGTTTTCATGTTTTTTGGAAATATAAAACGTTTCAAATCACAATCCTGTTTATTGTAATTAGTACCTATCTGGCTTTAGAATATTTAGAAAATTTTAAAGCAAGAAAATGTAGCGACAGATTTTGAGAGCAGTGGGCGCTACTAAAACGTGAGGTCAATGTCGAAGTCAAAAATCCCAAAATTTTGCTGGATAGTCCTAAAGGCTGTAGTTTGTTTCATCGAAAATATTCGAAAAAGAATTATGTAGAATATTTGAATGAATAGAAAACCTCAAGTTATGGAAAGACTTGAGCAGACTTACGTTTTCTCAATGTGAATTTTTCACGATCGATTCTTACATTTAAGGAGAAGAAGATATCGTAGGAAGAGGTCAAATAACAGGAAAAGAAGAAGTATATTTATCAGTTCTACCAACTCTGTTTTAGTGGCGCGATCAGGTGGACAATAAATAATGTTAGCCCCCATTGCTTACATAGTTTCTCAACACCACGAATATTCGAAATAAATTGAATATAATTCGTAACAGTAATGGGAAACTCATCACCGGTCGTTGGTTTATGGTCTGGTTTCCTCTTTTGTTCAATCTTTCTGTTGGGCGTAAATAGTCGATTTTTAACACGTTGCTTCTTTAAACATAGTTGGTATCAAATCTCCTATTTCGAACGGAACAGATAGTTAACAATTGTCTTCTTAATGAAAGGCGAAGTTGTATACCGACGCCAAGTCTAGTGTTAAGGACAAAGATTACTAGCGAAAAATGTTCTATGATATATCGCCTTCCATAACAAATATAAATGTTCCACATTTGTATATTATACAAAAACACTTACCATCCTGAAAAAATATAACTTTCACACACGCCAATGAAAATACAATCACTAAGCCGAATATAAATACTTGAATCGACCGTACGCGATGAAGTCTAGAACGAGACTGCTGATTACTTTGATTCATCATCCAATTGACCAAGAACCAATTAATCCCCGAACAAGTATGACTGGAGTGGATTGAAAAGGAATTTAGGGATATCTTCTGAAAGAACAAAAAAAGATAACTCATAAATCAGGCCGTCATCAACGAACGGTCGGACGGCTACTGTCGGGGTCAGTGTTGCTGGAAAAAAACGGTAGAAATCGTTATAGCGAGCGAAGCGAGCTAAAAGCTCGCCGCAGGCGGAGTTTCTTCTGAAAATTTAGCGACATTTTTCCGTGATCCAGCGACATTTTTAATCATATTTTGTCATTTTCTGAAAACTATATTCATTCAAAATCTGTTGAAAATAAAAAAAGCACATTATAGAAAACTAAATGAAAATAAATTTTCCTATGAAATTACATTCGGTATTATGAGGTAGGTAAATACATTGGTAAATCACAAAATACATTTCTCGGTCGTATGTGAAGTATTTCTTTGATCAAATCACACATTAATAAACATGTCATATCATGTCAACTAATATTTCTAGATCAACATCATACAGATCTGCGACTCTGATTTAGGAAAAAAAAAATTCACGAGCATCGTATAATTTGTCAAACCATATCGAATATTATACAAAAATGACAAAATATTATTCCTAATTGGCAAAAGTGGCACAAATGATGAAAACAAATCCTGTCATATGGCATTCCCTTCTCTTCTTATCTCTTCGGTCTCGAATGTTCCGATGTGAATTCATATCCGTCATCACCAATTCATGTGATCAGAATATCCATATAAACCGCTATGACTATTTTGAAAATACTAGAATTCCGACACGTCTCAAATCAAGCTGAAATGTCGCACTCACCTACCCTGAAAATTCTAGATTCAGCGAGAAACAAATAACAAATTTGAAAACAGATGTTGCGCACGGTGTTCGACGAATAAGGTAGGTAGTAGGTACTACCCGTATGACACTCTTATATGGTCATTTTATAACTACCATACTTGATAGCGGCCAAAAATAATGGGGGTAATAATGTGTTTTTGATAATAATTATATATTTGAGTAACAGTAAACTTCTATGTCCTTGTTATCAATTTATTAAGTTTGGAATTTTTTGTGAATATTTTTCGAGGATTGAGGGGCTTTGGGGTGAAGGTGAGCCTGCGGTGAACAAGAGAACGTCCCTATAGTCATAGTGCCCGTACTGTAAATATACAGAAACGTCAAAACAACTCAAAACAACAGAGTCAAGAACATTAAGGAACTATCATGAGTTGGAGGTTATATAATGTTCATTTTGTCTATCTTTCCAGTGTCTCGTCGCTCTATGGACCTGCTGCGCGTACGGGCCACCGACCCCCGCCCCTGTCCCAAGTGCGGCAAGATCTACCGGTCGGCCCACACGCTGCGCACGCATCTCGAGGACAAGCACACCGTCTGCCCGGGCTACCGGTGTGTGCTGTGCGGCACGGTTGCCAAGTCGCGCAACTCGCTGCACTCGCACATGTCGCGGCAACACCGCGGCATCAGCACCAAGGACCTGCCCGTGCTGCCGATGCCGGCGCCGTTCGATCCCGATCTGGCCAGCAGGTTAGCTCAAATGTATTACTATTATTATTATACTATTATAGGGTAGTTCTTATTTTTAAGTTGGTTTATAGTCAAATACTGTCTGTAGGTTAATGTAAAAACTTCACAAACGATCAGATTTCCACAAAATTCTTAAACACACAACATGTTTCGCTAACACAGTAGCTTCGTCAGGTGATATACTGGTACAATGAACTAAACCAACGTTGGCTTGTTCAACTTTGATATATCCTACTTTCCCAACTTGAAGGACTAGTAACCTGTGGACAAGATCGATAAACCTCCATTTTCAAAAATTAAGCAAAATATCTTTGTTCAGTTTTCAGTAGTGAATACCATGTCCTATCTATATCAACTGAACAGGAAGTAATGCTATTGTCTCCGTTCAGATGGACAACATATGGCAGAGTGGAATAATATCAAAATCATAGGAAAGGAAGATAACAACGAAAAAAAGAAATCAAGGAATCCGCTTGCATTCTTCCGTTACATAGATTTCGGAAGGATATGTAATTCAATATTCTGCGTGACATATAGCCAGGATAGTAGTTGTTTTTCTCTCGTTATCTGCCAGTTTCGTTCATTTATCAACTTTTGTGGAAATTACTTAGCTTTGTATATTTATTTATAGTTAAACCTTTGCTGCAACAGCATATTTGTGGATACTTCAAGGTGTCCCACTTTTTTGCCAGTGAGTGTAATTCATTAATCGAATGAATTATTGGCATTCAATTACTCCACTGTGTTGTTAGGGACCTACATTGATTTTTGCGACATTTCTCACGTGTTTCATATAAATAATAAGTCTATGCGTTATTCAAAATTTTTGAATTTCGAAGCTCATTTCAAACGTTCCTTCATGACCACCATTTGGCGATACGTCGAAATGATGACTTCAGATTTTACTCTGTTTCATTATTGGTCAGATAATCTTCCATTCCCACACATAAAGCAAGGTTGTCATGCCACCAATTATAATCAAGTTATCAAAAAGATATTAGAGTCCTGTCGTTGAATAAAACACGAGATAAAACATAATAGGAGGAAGCCATGATATTATAGTTCATTCTTGACTTTTTCGAGCAACCAGCATGTCCATCAAATATTTCTTATACTCCATAACAAATTAGCAAGTAGATGTTTGAAGACTTGGCAACAATGTGCTAAATGCTGAGAACTGACAAGACACCGCCCACAATTCCTGCGCCGTGTTGTCACGTTTAATGGTTCAAATGTCTTCTAGTGTGATTTAATATAATGATTTTTTTCACACAAATGTATTATTATAAGCTGTCGTAACAAGTCGTGTGTTATACTTTAAAACTGTATATTGTTCTCTTCAAATCAAGACTACTCGGAAAGCACGCCGATGTAAGATTCATCATATATAGAAAACGTCTCTAGGAAAACTAAGTACCTCCCTTCTTTATACAGAATACGCGATGATGAGTTCTCCTCAAGTAAAATTATCCGGAAGTAAAATACCTCTCCATTCGGATTTCCGGGCGAGAGGTGCTAGAGGGGGTTCACCATCGGCTCCAAAAGTCCTCAAGATAGACCTATGCAACATCCGAGGTCTAAGTAAGAACATCAACGATGTTCATCGACACCTTCAAATTGAAAAGCCAGACATATTAGCTCTTACTGAGACACAGGTCAATTCATCCACCAATACGACCTATCTGCTCTGTCCTGGGTACGAACTCCACACACGTTTCAGATTCAAGGGAGGTCTCTGCCTCTACTCTAAAACGAATCTCTCATGTCAACGAGAAGAAACTTTGGAACCAAATAAGTTTGATGTCATGTGGTTCAAACTCGATAGCCAGAAACAGACCAAATACCTTTGTTGTCTCTACTTATCACCAAATGATCCATCCTATAGAGAGCTCTTCGAATTCTTGTCTCTGAAGCTTGACCAAATTCAACAGAACCATCCAGCAGCAGAAATCATCATCATGGGCGATTTCAATGTACACAACACTGCTTGGCTCGTACACTCTGACAGAACGGATGAAGCTGGGCGACAAGCCGAAGCTTTCGCCATCACTCACGGCTTAGAGCAGCTCATCAAAGAACCCACACGAATTCCCGATGCCAATAACCATTCAGCTAACATACTTGACTTATTCCTCACTAATAATTCAGCACCCTACACCATAGATGTACGAGCTCCACTTGGCAATTCTGACCACACACTCATCTCCACAACCTGCCCATTTTTCATTCCATCAATTGCTCCGGCACCCCCACGTCTTATATGGCATTACAATTCAGGAGATTGGGACGGTCTCCGCATGTTTTTCTCCGAGTTTCCTTGGCATAGAGTATGCTTTGACTCTGAGGACCCTTCACAGTGTGCTGCGGAAATATCCGAGATCATCATGCTCGGAATGGACACATACATACCTCATTTTTCGAAAAGATCATCACCTTCGAAACCTTGGTTCAACAAAAACTGTTCTAGAACTGTTGCCTTGAAACAAACAGCCTACCATCGCTGGCGCAAAAGCCCTAACCTCGCGACTAGAGCAGAATACGTTGATGCCAGGAATAACTGCAGCCAAACAATAGATGCTTCGAAAGAAACATACAATGCCAAGATAAGATCGAAACTCATAGATTGCCCCAATGGCTCCCGTTCGTTTTGGTCCCTTGCTAAAGCGGTCGGAAGAAATTTCACTAATAGTTCATTTCCACCACTGTCCAAATCCGACGGCACATTAGCAACAACATCGCAGGAGAAAGCGAATATTTTTGCAGAGATGTTCGCAGCAAACTCTACTTTAGATTCCCAAGGAAAACTGCCGCCAGACATTCCACCCGTTGAGAGTCGAATGCCCGAAATCGTCTTCCGTCAACGCACTATCAGACGAATTTTGCTTGGTCTCAAAACGAATAAGGCTAACGGTCCTGATGGAATTCCACCCATTATCCTCAAAAAATGTGCACCAGAATTAACACCGATTCTCTGCAAGTTGTTTACCATCTCGTACAGGTCGGGTATTTTTCCATCATGCTGGAAGACAGCTAGAGTCCAACCAATCCCCAAAAAAGGGAACAAGAACCTGCCCAACAACTACAGGCCCATTGCCCTGTTATCAGTAATCTCCAAAGTGATGGAGAAAGCCATCAATATTGAGCTTATCAAATATCTGGAGAGCTCAGGAATCATCAATGATAGACAATACGGCTTTCGCCACCGAAGATCTACTGGAGATCTACTTGCCTACGTCACTCATTTATGGCAATCTTCAATAGAAAAACACGGGGAATCTCTAGCTGTCGCGTTGGACATATCGAAAGCATTCGACCGTGTTTGGCACGAAGGACTCCTCCACAAACTACCATCATACGGCTTACCACCTCAGCTATGCCATCTCTTATCGAGTTTTCTTTCAGGCAGATCGCTTCACGTGGTGGTGGACGGTGTATCGTCCGATACCATCGGCATCAATTCCGGCGTTCCACAAGGATCAATTTTGGCACCAACATTATTCCTGCTTCATATCAATGATCTGTTGGGAGTAACAACTTGCCCCATCCACAGCTTTGCAGATGATAGTACCCTCCATACTGCGTTCTCTTCTAGAATTCCTATTTCTTCCCAGGAAACTAAGAACTCACGGCGCAGGCAGGTCAATGCTGTCAATAAAGATCTTGCTGAAATCACAGCCTGGGGAACGAACAACCTAGTTGAATTCAACGCCACCAAAACTCAAGCCTGCATTTTCTCTAGAAAGGCGGAACTCAGTATGCCCGATATTGTAATGTCTGGCTCCACCATCCCCACCAAGCCCACCATATCTATGCTCGGTATTTCCATCAGCAACACTCTTTCATGGGATAATCACGTCAGATCCATCGCAAAAGCTGCTTCACAAAAACTCGGATTCTTGTTCCGTGCGAAAAGCTACTTTACACCCCAACAGCTTCTCATGATCTACAAAGCGCAGATACGGCCTGTTCTAGAATACTGTTCCCACATATGGGGTTCAGCACCAAAACATACGCTGATGCTCTTAGATTCCATCCAGAGAAGAGCCATTCGCCTGGTGGGTGACGCCACACTCACTCACTACTTGACATCATTGGAACACCGTAGAAAGGTCGGCGACCTTTCACTTTTCTATCGATACTTCCACGGGAAATGTTCTTCGGAAATCTCTGCAATCATCCCTTCACTAGCAATACCAATCAGACGAACTAGACAAGCCCAGTCAGCACATCCTTTCGTCGTCAACCTCGAAAGATGTCGAACAGCACTTTATCAAGACTCCTTCATCCATAGAACGGCTAGGCTCTGGAATTCATTGCCTGTGGAAGTATTCCCAACAACATATAATCTCCAAAAATTCAAAAAAAATTCCAATACCTACCTCCTGTCCCTATCCTCCCTAGGAACGCACGATGTTCTTTGAACATTATAGGGATTCCCTTTCGTGCGCTCCAATCAATAAAAAAAAAAAAAAAAAAAAAAAATATGCTTAGTAAGCAGTCTCTCCTCATCTATACCATACACATTGCTTTCATTTATATATTTTAAATAAACAAATTTAACGTGGCTCTCGTGCGCTGCACTGTCGACATTTGTAGATATTCAACGATAATAAATACATTGGTTTATATTTCATGTTTGTCTACATACACAGTGGACTGTGTATATCCAACATATGGGAAATTTTGAGACAATCGATTTTTTAATGATTATCAAGAATTCTAAAAACAATAAGAAATTGAAAGGTATTTGAGTGATGATTCTATTCGAGAAATAACTAGTTGATATGAGAAATCAACTGATTTATTTTTACAAAAGGTTATTGGCTAAGGCCGGAGTCAAGATAAGTCCGGCGGAACTTCGAGCTCGAGCGTCGCCCACTGGCCCGAGACGTTCCGACGTCAAACTCGACGCCAAGAGCGCCTATTCAGGCGCCGCCTCAGAGGCGGGCAGTTCCATCTGCGGCGACAACGATCCAGAAGATCTCACCGTCTCCAATCAAAGGTAACGACACAATTTCAATTAACGTTACACAGATTGTTAGAACGCCCTGAGAGTACCCTGTATAAAAAACGTGATAACAGCGTATTGGTATGTGTGAATCACTTCATATAGAGGTAAGGATGAATAGAAGATGGTGTAGAAACTCCTATCAAATCCCATCTACTGTTTTTCGGTCAAAGTTCCGGAACTATATACGGCCTACTTGACAGAAGGTTTCTTTTCGATATCGCGGAATATAGGTCGCATTTTACCCGTTAGATGGCGGAATCTCAACCTAAATTCAAGGTTGATAAAACTGATGATAATTTAAATTCCCCAAAATTACAGTTTCGTACTTTCAAATTTAATCTCATTTGATTCGAGGTTATGTTATGAATGTTATGATATTATTATTTCTGGTGCAAGCGGTGTGTTTGCGTCGTTTTCTGTCATGAAAGAAATCTTTCAAAAGTGTCGCCATCTTGCAGACAACTGAGAACTAATATGCCATCATTGCGGAATCTGCGGTCAAGCGTTTTGGGAGAAACAAAACATTGTCTGTGATTACACCATATTCTATCCACCTCGATAGAGACCAATATCGACGTCTCCCTACAGGAAGGAGGTTACCAGTGCGAGCCACGTTCCATTTATCTAGTTGTTTATCGATTTACATATTATTACTATTATTGTTCTAACACAGATCGTTTGCCCAATCGTTATACGAGCCCTGTATCAAAATAACGTGTTTCATTAAACTTGCCATATTTGCCGTCAGAAATTATTGAAAACTGGAATGTATTTCTGATAAAAAACGTAATTTTCATTTGAAATAAGCCTAATACCACATTTCTTTGTGGCAGAGAAAAATTATCTTACAAATAAAAACAAAACAAACCACATAGCAAAAATCACCACTGCGTTTCATCGCCTTTCTACTGATTGCAGCTTCGAAACTGATGTCATATGGTGTAAAACTGTTTCAAATTTTTTCGAACGTGCTCCCAATTCTGGAACGGTTCTTGCGGGATTCGTTTGGAGCTATTTTGCATGGTATGCCACAAGGTTTCAATCGGCGATAGATCTGGACTACTCGACGTTCATTACATTCAATATTTTTTGAATGCATTTCAATTGGGGACTACTACTACTGTAGCCATAAAAGTAACGTGAATTGCCATGATGGGGGGGAGGGGGGAAGGTAGCATCTTGGAAGCCCATAGTACCCAGATTTAAGTATTTCCGAAAATTCCACCACTCGGATTCAGATGAAATTCAATGAAAAACAAAACTGTTTAAACCAAAAACAAAGAATCGTCATCTTCCATGTCATCTTCGATTTCGTAAACGTTTTCAGAATCGAAATATTTTAAATCAAGATTTTCAACCAGTTCTTCTTGTTCCCTTTGCGACAATGGTAGTGTCGTGTGCTTTAAACGACTTTTAAAATCCACTTTGGGTAAAATCTCAAAAATATATCAGAGGAAATATGAATATTATCCCCAAAAAAATTTCCTAAATCGATTGTAACTCGGAAATTACCAGAAGTAAATAAGATAAAATGAATAATCATTTTTCTTGTAATCATGAGATCATGAAGCTTCCAAAGAGATAAATCATATCTTGGGTATCCACCGATTACCGACGATTCCTAGAGGATTCACCGAGCAAAGCCAAACCTCCAAAATGTAATCCACAGTCGGCGATGGAACTCGTAGTGTACGCAATCAATAAACTGTGATATTTCCGCAAATATTATATTACTATTTGAATTAAATCAAAATTAAATTGAATTGGAAGCTTTCATTCAGGTATGAATAAATTCAGAGAGTGTGCATGAAGATTTCAGCGATAGATGATGGCTCTGCGGTAGTTCACACTATAAATTACCGTAGATCCAGCGCCAAAACGGTAGGCCTTGCAAGACTGGCCCCCACAGTGAAACAATTTCCTAATACTCCAATATGTAGCGATTTGATAGACAATCTGTATATAGTCCAAATGGAATGATTTGAGATCATAGTGTCAACAAAGAATGGCACTTGAATAAAACATATTTCAAGTACCGACACAAATCCTCATTGCTAATTATTGTTTACTAGGTATAGTTCGCTAGACTTTGGTCTGTCACCTCCCCTCCACCAGCAGAACAACTTCAAAATGAACAGGCACAATCAGGCGGTGGCTGCCAAGAGTATAGACTCCTTGCAACATCTGTCTAAGGAGCCCTATCCTGCGCCTCTAGCGCCCCCTGTGTCTGGGGCCAATACCACGGGATCGGCGATCCTGGACACTTACCTTCAACTCATCAAAGAGAACAGTCTAGGTGAGTTTTCGTCATAATCTTCATCATCCTCATCGATATTTTGTTATTATAGCCAGAAATTTAATTCCGAGGTTGGTAGAATTGATGATCATTACACATAAGGATTTTAAAAATTGCAAAATGAGTGGAGGCAGGGCCTACTCTATCTCACCAGTTCAGAGCATCGTTTTCGTGACGTCACACTAGTAGGGACAGAATCGAGGCGCTGGAAATTGCGTTTCCCAATTCATTGATGTACCACGGGAAAACGGTAACAGTTATCCAAAAATTTCAAGAGATCAAATATGTACAGACTAGACTTGTTTGAAAGATGAATCAATATTCACTGACTTACGATTAGTAGTTCAAGAATTATAGCATATCAAAATGAATTGATTACATTCAGAATTGTCGTTTTTTAAACAGCTGCTAGAATTTCAATATTCAATTGACAGAAATGATTCAACCATGCAAAGGCTTCTCATAGTATCTAGATTGACTGTATTTTTTTTTCATAATTCCCAAGAGCCAATAACAAACCGATATTTCAATCCAAGTAAAATGATGATCCAGATGATTACTACAAACTAGTTCAGAAAGTTTAGACGGTCCTCATGCTGAACCTATCAGTTGTGGATATATGCTGTCACTGACTTTTTTGTAGTAAATTTCATTGCCTAAAAATCGATATGATACACTCTTACTGTATCTCAGAGGATTTTAGCAGCAGCGAATTAATTATTCTCAGCTATGGAGTATACATTTAAGAAATAATCTCATAATAATTAAGATAAATTGATTTGAAAACATTTTCAAAATATGAAAATTAAGAAGAAGAGAAAATATGTCGTTCTCATACACACAATACTAAACGAAAGCCATTCTGAAAATATTCAACATAATTATAGAGAAAAAATAGCCAGATATTACAAAATAACATGTACTTATAACAAAATATATATATATCACAAACTAAAAAATGGGCTCAAAGCTATTCATATTCATCCGGAAAGTCTGATGATTCTTTTCTCTTATTTAACTGAATCCCGGTATATTTCATATGTAATACCTAATTATTCAACACAATATTCAATATAGTTTTCAAAATATCGAAAGACCCACAACTGGAATCACCGCGAAATCGTTAATACGAGGAAATTAGGTAGGTATAATACTAGACAAATTTTTACGCGCTCTTTATTTCTAATTTATTTCGGACTCATTGTAGGTAGCTCAATAATTTTCTCATTATTTAATTGATGCATTATCGTAGTTTGACATACTCAGTCAGTTTCATTTTAAACCGATTCCGAATTGACAAAAAATACTGTTCTGTAGTTCAACGCCCTGATTTTCATTCAAATTGAATTTCTTCACAGCATCATAAATCGGTACTGGTTCATCCTAATGCATTTATTTTTGTTACCAATAGTGGGTAGTTCATCAGAGATCAATTCGTCTCGATTGAGTGTGCTTCTAATTGTTAAAGTAAATGAGCTATAACCTTTCAATTACGAACGAACCGATATGAAATGATGTGAAATCTCAACCTACTAGTGTGACGTCAGCAACGAGGTAGATGGGATAGACTACGGCCCGGTGAGATAGAGTTGGCCCTGGTGGAAGTACTATTCAAAATTCAGGGGTCCCTCAAAAGTTGTCCTTCTTGATATGTAAATCGAAGTGTAATCGCCAAATTAACATGTTATAAGTTGAAGAAATTTCGAGTGCTGATCTTTTTCAAATTGTCACCCTGTATCCTCGGAACCTGACCTAACGATGATGTTTAGGCATGAGCATGATGTCGGAGCAAGCAGCCGCAGCAATGCAGGCTGCCAAGCTCGCTCAGCTGAACGCCATGGGCCTCGACAAAGCCTCGCAGCAGCACTTCCTCGAGCAAATGCAGCAAATGCAACAGATGCAGACCGCCAACGACCTCATGATGAAGCGCAACGACGAGATAAGACGCGGCGAGGCCGAGATGGTCAACAGCCATGAGAAGCGAGACGAAGACCTGGACTCGTCTGCCGGAGAAGAAGAAGACTTCAGCGAGGACGAAATGGAGCCAGAGGCCGCCAAAGCGGGAGAATAGAGCCTCGGTGTTAGAGTAAGGTCGTTTATTGAATCTCGGAGTGAGAGGGAAAGATAGAGGCGCGTTGGAGATCAAAGTGAACTGAGGAAATCAGACAGAACTTGAAAAGAGATGATTGTTCGACGCCTCTATTTTTCTTTGTGGTTAGGTTAGAGCACTCGTGCATCAGTAGCCGCAAGTCTTGCCATTGATATTACACATGGATTCCATCCAGCTACCTCAGTTTTGAATCTCATCGTAGTATATTTATTGAACGTTTCCTTTTTTTCATTATATCAAACAGTGTGTGGCTCAATTTGAAGAAAATGTGCACATTTCACTCATTCACTATCAGTAACTTGTGGCAATCAATGTCAGAAACAACCTGCATTTTGACGTTCCACAAGTTCACAAACGAATATTTCATCTTTTAGAATGAATTTCAATAGAGCTTTGAAAGATAAAGAATATGTCTGTCTGTCTTTGTCTTCAGTGTTCCAACGTAAAATGATAAAAATGTTATTTTGGCAACACTGGAAATAAGAAGAAATGGAGAAGATCACATTAACCTCAATATAAAAAAAGGTTAGAATGGTCTTCTTCTTCATATCTCATTTACAGTATTGCCATCATAAAATTTTCATTATTTTACGTTGGATCACTGAAGACAAGGACTTCAGTAGATTCGATTTTTCAGAAAAAAAAAATGAAGTGCAATAGAGGATTTTTTTATTTTAAGTTGTTTCGGCGCTAAACTTGAACAATTGTTTTGTTAAGAGCGCCAATAGATACTTGATATTGATGAATGTGTACATTTTTTTTTCAAATTTGGAGACCACCCTGGACATACAGGATGAGGATATTTTCTTACAAAAGAATGAAGTGAACGATAGATCTTCCAGAAATATATACTCTCGGATATGATTCGTTGACGAGCTACAGGGCGTCGAAGTGAATTAGGACCATATAGTTTTTTTGCAATATCTTGGAAAGTCAAACCGACAAAAATTCTTGAAGGTTGGGCCATATCTTTCTCATCCCATGAGCCATTTTGAAAATTGTGAAAATATACACAGTGCTATCGACAAATATGGGTTCACTGCACATCTACCTCCTCATGAATTTAAGGCTATGAACTTTGGAATTCTAGAAAAAAATACATACAAAAATGTATGATGTTATGTGAATTATTTGACAACAAAAATGCACCATCATAGTGAATCCTGATGACAGTTTGTCATACAAAGTCGGCCAAATTGGAAGATTTCTAACATTATGCTATCCAAGTTGCCTAGAAAAAATTATTTCGCCCAGATACACTTTAACGGTTTGTAGCTCCACAATGAATCCTACTTGGGGGTGTATAAATTATTATGTCGTTGATATTTCTCGAAGATCCAACGCTTGTTTTTTTCGAGAAAAAAAATTGAATCATCTTGTATTCATACCTACGTATACATGATGGCTCGTGGAGCTGAAATATTCGAATATACCTATTCCATCCGTCTACCTCAAACGTATAGTATATATTATATATTTGAAAAGTGCAAGATAATAAGGGTTTAAAAGTGTATACGGTAAATTAGGATTTCATAGAAAAAGTTATACTTATCGGACTTCGTTGCAGTTATATGATAACTGAAAGTTGATGTGTTTCAATGCTATATTGTTGTGTAGGGTGTTTTTGATCATCTTTCAAAGAGTTGTTTTTCGTGTAATCAATGTTTTGTTTTCCATACAGGATGTCGCAACGGGTCCTTTAGTTTTCCAAAGGGATTCTTCATTAACATTTTTTTTCTTAATGGTCAACAAATTCACGTGTACATTGAGAAAAAAATCGTTGATGAATGTTCTTGTTTTACAATCTGTCGTACTTAAATGAAATATTATTTTTAATTATTAACAATTACAAGGTGATACGTATACAGAGCTATTAAATATGTTTACCACAAAATGTATACAAACAATCCTATCCAGGTGAAAATGGTACAAAAGCGTTTTTGCCTTTACAACAATATTTTTGTACGTGTATCTTTGAAATACTAAAGTATCGCGGATTTTTTTAACGACTATAAGTATACCCGTTTCGTTTTTTATAAAATACGCTTCCGGAATTTTTTCAAAGAATGCTTCCGTTTAAAGCAATTCGTAGATGTAACAATCAAACAAAACTTAATTAGTTAATCGTGTTTGTATATATTAAGTAAAATGAACTTATTAGACATCACTCAGGACACTGAATAATATCAATATACTCAAGTACAAATTTCAGTATAACTTCATTTTTAAGGATTTTCGCCCAATACAAACATAAATTTATAAGACAAATGATATTTCACAGCACAAAATATTGGACCACAAACCAGATAAAACACTTTTTTCCATGTGCTTTGATTTTGTCTTGAAGGTTTTTGATTGTAACTGGGGTTCATACACATTCAGGGAAAACTTCAGATTTCTGCCAATAATATATCAGTATCACTTTTTTATTTTTATACACTTTTCCGTTAGTCATAATACAGTGATAATCGAATCAGGTATTTCAATATATCGGGTCATTTTTAGAAATATTTATCTATACATTAGATCCATTCATCACAGTCATTATAGTTAAGTGAATAGGGCTTCGTAAGTGGACGTTTGAACTTCCATTTCAACTTCCAAATACCGTGAGAAACTCCTTGTACTTACATGTTCGTTATGTGTCGGTATTTTTCGTTATATTTACCGAGTTTTTGTGATTGGTCCATCGATACTCCAATACGTTCATGAAATGCAGAGAAGAGAAAAATACTCTCACGTTTAGTGGACAGGGTGTTTGGAAAGTCACAATCCACAGAAAATATAGTTTCATTAAGAGTTTATCTGTTACAGATTATTTTGGGAAAATAACCGCAGCCTCAGCAAATGTTTTCTGGTCAAGTCAAAACGAATCAATTCTTCATTTTCTTTATCGGGAATACCGGGTTTTTCTAGTTAACTTTTGAACTAATTTTTTCCATGAAAAAATAATGGAATATCAGTTCCGGTTTCACCAGAAATTGACATAGGTTATGTATTTTAAATGGAACCCTGTATATTTTGGTAGGCAAACAAATCTTTGATAGAAGTCCATTGTTTCTCAAAGCCGAGTAACGTAGTAACTACTAAATAATGATGATCAAACGATCAAAAAAAAACTTTTCAGTGATATATGACAAGTGGACATTTGTTTCCAAAATGGCCGGGCAGGATACATTTTGTCTAAAAGCAATATGGCGACACCGTTTGTTTTTTCACGAATCCTGATAACATAGCAAATAGACGAAGCACTTTGATTCGTTTTTTGATTCATTATCAATTCATTAATTTATTGAATCAAGTAAAAGAAAGTTATGTATACAGATTTTCATATACATTTCAAATTGTATCTCATTCACATAGGTTAGTTAGTGACCTGTTTGTGAAAGAGACACATTATTACATGTATAAAAATAATTTACTATGGAAATACTCAAATTGAATATAAATAATCAAGATAAATAAAGAACAAAAATGAAATTTGGAAAAAGAGTTGATTAAAAAAGATCATCAGCATTTAACCTTTTTTTTTTGGAAAGTTATAATATTGAGACTTTTTAATGAATGAAATCAAATTGACTATTATGATATTGAAATACAACTGGAAAAGTTGTAGAAATAACAGTTAGCCTTCAGATCTGTTGAACAACTCTCTAACAAAGTCGTTTGCTTATAGAACGGTGAATATTAGGAGAAAAATGTGGACATTTTCAAATTAATTTGTAAGGATGACAGTTGACAGTGGATCATTGTCGTATTTCCCCAGCACCATCCATTAACGTGAAAGAATTTTGTCTCTTCTACCAAGGAATCGTTCTTCCAAAACTTTAATTTCGAAAGTTGCAATAGATGGTAGGTATACAGTATTCACGCAAAAGTACTTATGTTTATACCTCAAACTATTCCCGCTTTCCGCTATAGATTTTCGAGAGCTTTCCGTTACAGAGTGGGACGTAGTTATATAGCGACATAGCACTCGAATAGAGGATATTGTTAATTATTGAGTAAGCTTAGAATAGATATACCTTAAATGAATGTACTTCGGAGCACCGGTTATTATCGTTCTGGGACTGTGTGACGTCACCTGCCACCCCAGTGAAATGCTTTAAATCCACCCCCAATGGCGGGTTGTCTTCGTTTCGAGAACGATGAAGGGTAGACGTACATGTATGGTGCTTTTTGTTTTTGTGAGATAATTCCTACACTTCTCCATGAATTTAACGCACCACCAAAAAGTAGCCAAAAGTTTAGGAAACATTTTCGTCAAAACTAATTGTCAGATTTGGACATTTTTTTTTAATAACAGGTTATTTCCTACTGAACATTCGTGTGCAAACTGTATATTCGTATAAAATTATACATGCCGCGTATAACAATAGTTACATTATCGAGTTAAAATTGAAATCACACTTTAGCCTTGTCTTTTTTCAACATTTCTTGTTTGGATTCACTCCATTATCCTTCGTATTACACGGGAAACACCATTTCATAGCATAACAGGATTAATATTTACATTAAATAATACGAAAAAACGAGTCCCAAGTTCAACGAAAGGGTGAGTAGCGAGTATTTACGCCGCGGGCACAAAAACTTCTTGGCAAAGATGGTGGTCTATACCCAAAATAAGAAACCTAATGTAATTTTGGTCCAGTTCTTCATAAATTTGAATCACCAGTCTCTGCCGTGCGTTTTCCAAAGTTCAAGTAACGTACCTCTTGTAATCTTGTCCCAAGAATGTTCCAGATGTTCTCAATGGGATTCAAATCCAGACTCCAAGCTGGCCGTACCATAGTAGCGATACAGACTTCATCTACATAATTTCTCACAACTCGGCCGACGAACAAAACTCCTTACACTATAATGTGGTTCTAAAATCACCGATATGTACCTTCCAACTGTAAGGCTTCCATTTATATGATCACAATTTCCATGCGACCAGTCAAATAATGGGCTTATATCACAAAAAAAATTCATTTCATAATTCGATAGAACTAACCCAAACTATAGCTCACCACCGCAAACCGTTTCTTGCTGTGAGCTCCCTACGTTTTATAAAAAAATATTGAAATCCCAGATTTTTCGGACCTCTGAAAACGAGGCGATGATGTGACGTCAAAACCCTAATACTGAAACAAGACTATTCCAGACAGAGATGAATAATACATGATTTCTGACAGAGTGAATTAGCGCGAGATCACAGTTGAAAGAATTAATATATCAGTTGCCTCAGTCTCCGTCGGGCGTTTGGTATTTTCTTTCAACTATGGCGAGATGAGGTTTCTACGTCATAAGTAGGGTCCGTTTTCA